CAATGGTTGCATTTCTCGTTAATCTATGTTGCAAAAGCATATATCATTTGAAATCAAGTGTTTTAAACGAATGTAATTCAATCTTAATAATATAAAAGTTCTTAATCATATACATAAGCATTTATGTATTCATAACATAAACGTTCGTAAACATCGTTTGGTTCAGATTTTTTAATTAACAGGACCTTATTGGAATGATATAGTGTACAACGTACAAGATCAAATGTACCTATGTATACATATATACATGTATACACAATTTATTTATTACTTTCGCAGAATCTTCTTATGAAATAAGTGTAAGACTATGAAATTCAAATGCTTCCCATATATAAACGAAAAAAATAATGGAAAGCAAGCATAAATTATATGCACCAGAATAATCGACTTAGAAAATAAAAACGGTGTCTTTAAGCATTAAGCTATCAGATGCCTTTATGACATGATAATTCTTTGATTATCCATCTTTAAACAGTACTGGAATAACTTTCACTTGGCCATACATAATATAAGTGACGATAATGGGTATATGGAAACTGCATTTTTGAGGACTGCAGTACACGCAACGACGGGACGTATTCTTCTTCTTGCTTTGAACGCGCGTTGATATCTGGTTCTGGCTATACTATAGTACCTCCACCCTCCACTGGACTGACAACATGAAGAGCGTTCCCAACTTGTCCTACTCCTGGCTGCAATCAAAAGTTGTACAGAAATTTACTATGGAAAATAGTTTCGTTTGTCCACAGAGAAATTCTGTAATTATAAGCAGTTTGAAAACAATTCTGAATTTTATTGAAGTGCATTAAAGAACGGTGCAACGATAGCATATTAGAAGTACTGTTGATACTTCTAATTGGTGATCTAAGATGCCTCAGCAAGGCACATACTACCAGGTCGAGCAAATATAAATGTACTATACTACTTGGTCCAATGATGCAGTAAACAAGTCAAGAAAACAATAAATTATACGTACCATGCGATAACTCTGGGAAGATTCATCCATGATTCTCTTGCATCAGCCAAAGCATGGTATGGAACATTAATCTTTCCAATCAAAGTAAAAAATATAATGCCCCACCGGCTTAAGAAACAAGCACAAGCATCTTCCAATAAAATTATAAAACTGTCACTATAAAAGAAGCAATGCACACTATATGAAAATTATCACAAAAATTCGAACTTGTTAAATCGCTATAACAGATAAGGAGCATTGGGATATTTTGACGATAGAAATGCTTTATGCAAAGCACCAGGAAACTGAATTTGACTTCATCAATTCAAAAAATTATCATTTAGAAATTAATCATGCTGGACACTGCAACCAATCAAACTGTGATATAAGACAACTAATAGCAATTATATACATGTGTGTTTATAATATACATATACAGGGTATCCCAACTAACTCGAACATATTAAATATACTGTTTGTTATTGATAATTAAAAAAGAAATTTTGTTTCGAAGTTAATTATTTTTTACTTATACTTGTCCTTATTTAGTTTTCATCTTGATACTAACAATAACAAAAATGTAGTGTGTTATTTAAGATGATGATCTTGAAATACTGAAAAATGTAGCCTTAAGAAACATTTTTGCTTACTATAATATTTGACCCCTCAAACCTAGTGCTTTCCTCCGATACTTCTTTCTATTAACAGTGATAAGCAAGATATTTAAGATGCTCCATTTAGTTAGGACTCCTTATGTGGATACATGTATATTATCAGTTTCACCTGGGTACTCTGCATTGCACTCTATATAAATTCAAGCAGGAAGCAAGCAGCAACATTTCATTCAATTGTTTTGCTTTATTGTACAACAAGGCAATTCATTGTTTTCAACAAAGGATTAAATGTCACATTATTATAATCTGGGACAATAGTTTGACTAAGTAATTCATTGACTTTCTATCATTCGCTAAGCTAAGCTAATAACACTTTACAGGAAAGAAAGAAGGGTTTAAGGGGCCTGCCCTGTTACAAAATCTTATGGGGCGCAAACAATGTTACTCTCAATGATGCAAACCAAACATAAATATATTCTATTTATAATTATACTAATGTACTTCTTCAATATTCATAGTGAATATATTTTGACCAGATGATCTTTAGGCACAGATATAAATGGAGGCTTGTACTATGAATGTATATGTATCTCTATTTCTTATTGTACGTACTATTTGCTACTTGTGTACACATGTTCTATTTAATCGAAGTGAAAATTCTTTAAAAATTTCTGTAAAATGAACTTGTTTCTATGGCAATTTCATAATTGTATATAAGATTAAAAATTCAATTCCTTAATGACACCTGACCAAATATTACAAGTTTATGCATTCATAGTACTATCCATCCGTACATTTCTGTAATTGATATGTAATACAGACTACAAGATAATGCTAAAAGGTTTTCAATATTTTCCAATGGCACCATTCATAATATACACTGCTTTGGATAAAATGTAAACTAGGATTCGATTTGTAAATATGAGAAATATATGTAATCCTCAAATAAAAATCTATCAAAATCAGCACATGTATATATACATATATAACACACACAATGCCGCAAGGACAGTACTTCTTATAATACCAAAGTTGGAAAATAACAAAACTACACCCCACATGTTCTTCATGTTCAATAAACTTGGGTGTGGAAAAGAGCATTTACCACTTAACACAATTCAACGATAACAATAGAAAAATTGTCCAAAGCATTATCATATCTTTTATTCATTTCGTTCGATAACGATAATGGTTGTATCTTCTTGTTCTACTTATATACAAATTGGAATTTGTCACTAAAAAGACCCTACTTCATAAAGTTGCAACAACAGTTGAAGATGGGTTACATCATAGATCGTTAGATCGCAAGGAAGTAATATTGGTGTAAGGATTGCTATGATGGTGTGGCCTGTGCAGAGTGCTGCTGATGGTGAGAGGACCTACCATTTGACCAGGTCTTGCCCATGTGTAGACGTATCCATCTTGACACGCTGTTACGAAACAATCTTCCCTAAACACTAACTCAGTCAATCTTTCATGCGCCAGCTTCTTGCACACCAGTGGTTCTAATACTGGGCACTGATCGAACCTAGGACACAGGGCAGTTCCTATCAACCTCATAGAATCATCCATCACAGAACTAACCTTTTTATTCGCACCTACTAAACTTCCACTGACACTGTTCATATTACTACTCGTATTTAAGTTAGTGGCAGCTTTATCGCCGCCACTGTTTTGCATTATTGTGCTATTAGACGCACCACTACCTCTCATTGTGAGGCTAAAGTTCCTTTTATGATTATCACCTTTACGTTCACCGAAACCAAGACCTGCTAACCTTTGTGTCAACGAATTTACAGTTGACACTGCAGTGTTTGTACTTGTGCTATTGTTACTACTTTCATTGTTACCACTCACATTCTCTTTGTAATTAACATTATTCAAATTATTGTGTTTAGAATTGTTCAAATGATGATTTGCCGTCGAACCATTCCCACTGTTGACTGCTCCCGGCGTAGGAAGAATACTAGAACCTACTACGGAGGGTCTCTGCTTCGTGCACATTGGTTTTTGTCTTAATTCAGCTTCGGTAATATCCCATAAACACAGTTGAGTATCCTGTGACACACTACCAAGCCTGTAGCACGTGCCACCTGACACTCTCAACTCTGATCCACAAGAGTTTCTGTTAGAATGAACTCCTTGAGAGGTCGTGGACAGACGATTAGACTTTTCGCAGAAGTGATTATGATTATTGTGTGGTAACGTTTCGTCGTCTGATCCGCTGAAGTCAGGATCGTGATCACCGTAAGACGTGGTGTATGGATCAAAGGCTACTACGCTTACCCAACTATGGTGTCCTTGACCTCTCGCTACCACTCTTTTCTCGTGAAAACTCCAAATTGTCACAAGATCGTCTTCGCCTCCCATAACGACGTATCTTCCGTCCGGTGACCAACATACGCACAGAAATCCGCCGAAAAAACTTCTAGCCGAGCCCACTAATTCCATGGTGTTATACTGGAATACACGTAGGAACCCGTCCTGCGAAACTACGGCTAGATTGGAGCCGCATGGACTGAAGGCAAATTCGTTTATGCAGCATCCTTCTGCACCTATGACCCATCTGTATAAGGGGTTCCTCGTGGACTTAGTCTTGCAGGTGTAAATAGCATAGCCATCTCCTGATTTAAAGGACTGGTAGTGGGGTGCTGTTGTACCACACAAAAGTTCTTCATTATATAAATATAGCTGCCCAGAACTATGCGATACTAAGAAGAGGTTATTGGAGCCAGGAACCCATTTTATACATGTTACTTTGCTTTTGTCTATCAACCTCTGAAACATTCAAGATTTATGAATAAAATATATATAATTTTATTTGTAATGAAAGCATATATTTCTAACAATTAATATTAATAAAGTAGTCAAATGATTTTCCCAAACAATTTCTATCGCAATCATTAGTAGATATTGTGGATCTTTATACAAAATACAAATTTATTTTTCTCTTAATAATGTAAAATTTTTCTAACGTTTTTACTGTTTTATACCTCATTTACTCATTTTTGTTCTAAATGTATAAAATTTTTGATCTAATATTATCAGTGACAATTATGAGTAGAACCAACAGACTATTATTATCATTGTTCAACAAAGATAACACATCAATTTGAACAGAGATTGGATAAGTGCTAGCAGTTTTTTCATACTGCATATACTAGGAATTGTGTCATACAGTAGCAGTGATAGTATGCCATACTAGCTTATAATCAGTTCTCCATGTGAATGGTCTCATAAATTTTGGATTGTGCCAATATTTCTTTACAATCTCCTTGTGTATTGAAAATGAATTTAATCCACGTATCTACTTTCAGTGTTTGATTTATACAAAATATATTACTTACATCTTCATTGTATAATTTACTCAACTCCTTTTTTATTGGATCGATCAACTGAATTTGTCCTGTTGAGAAACCAACTAATAACGGCGCACTGTCTGCAGTTGCTGTTGTTTGGTTAAAATTGTGACAAGTTGGATTAGTTCCTTTATACAACTTTTTATCCAATGGCTTGTTCAAATCCACAGCCTGAAACATTTAGATTCATAAGATCTAAAAATTATAAAGCATAAAAGGTAATAATTATTATAATTAATTTCAAAATAACTTCCTAATATTTGTTAAAAGGAAAACTTTGAGGAAGAAAGCTGGAAAAGCACAAAAGAGAAGGGTATTAGATCCATTTGAATCCATAAGAACAAGTAGCAATTTGTACATATTGCTGTAAATGCTACCTTTCTATTATATATATCTTTCTTCTATCAGTGAATTCTTGCTTCCTGTTATTATATAACATTTTCACACACAAAAACAAATACTTTTATAGTATATAAAGAATTGGTTATATCAATACTTGTTTATGTATACAGGTCCAAATGAATCTAATATTTATCAATATTTAAAGGATTAAGATACTGTGGAACGTCAAACAATGGGCTGTTTTTCGATGAAAATTATGAGGAAATGTAAACACATGATAGATTTGATATTCTTATATCATTTTAAAAAATGTTTTTCAAGTTGGAAAATATTTTTGGAAGATATAAGCACATATTTTCGTGTCTATAATTAACAAAATAGCTTGTATTAAAAGTTCAGATCTCTTTGTATCTTGTTTTCAATCGTTTCAATTACCTTTCAAACTATAAAGAAAATTTGAGTTTTTTGAAATTTTACGGTATCCTAACCCCTTAACGTATTTTGCAGATACGAAAAAAATGTGTTTAGGCTTGTCGGAAAGCGTACATAGGTAAAGCGAGATGAACGAGATTTTACAATTGTTAACGTATAAAGTAAAAGGATTCTGTGTTAGGTGTGGTATTAGTCCGCAAAGATGGAGTCTTGATACGCGTTTTCGAGGTTATGTTTGAACGAATCCATGCCCGATTAAACACAAATAAATTAACACAGGGTATTAAACCATGTGGAAGCTGGTTTTACCTTCTTGACACCGCGGTACACGTAAACGTAGAGCTCTTTGCCAAAGTTGAAACACATTCGGTCGCCGAGACCTTGCGTACCCGTCGGATCCGTTGGGTCCGGTAAAGTTACAAAAGACACCCGAACGGATGCACTTCCCTGACTGTTCGTATAGCCGACCCTGTTTGGCCTCGAATACTCCGACAGAGTCATTAGCTTGTATGTTCCTTCCCGCGTGACAAATTGTGTTTTCAAGTCCTCCTTCCCTCCTCCGTCCAGCTGCACAGCCATCTTACCACCAGCGGTACGACGGAGGAGCTCATCAGATATGAAAAAATCGTTCGTTCGCTTCTGCACTCCTGCACGTCCGTCGACAACAGTTTGCCAGGATGCCTCACGAAGTTGTCAAACACCGTATCAGCAGTCCCCGGTTTTTTAAAAACCTCCAAATTGTCGCAACTTACCGGTCCGATACGAGAACACTGGTAAGGGCGCCTCGAGTTCTATATCGAAACTGCCTGTGCATTCGCGACCCGCAGCTCATACTCTCAACCTCGTATAATGCGATCTTCTTCCCACCGGACTTATCGCAAATTTTCCATTCTTCAATTCCGCGCACAATGTGAACAGAGAATAGTAGATTTCACCGAAGAAACTCAAATTACACTGATACTTCATACAAAAGTTTGTGTGTTGATATGCTTATGTACATGGCTTTATGAATCTAGATTTTGCAAACTTTACTAGATTAAAATCATGATAACATGAATCTACAAGTTAGTATTGCAGTTTTACGTATTTGATTGCCTTTGCAATGCACTATTAACATTTGTAACTGTTAAGCAACGGATTTTTATGTAAAATAAAAATTTTCCAATATACATCTAAAAAACAGGAAATTGGTGAGAATATCTTTGTAAATCCTTTAATGTCTTTACAGTTTGGTATATCATCCATTCGTTTTTGTAACAAGTGTGTACAATTTATAATATAAAAATGATTTGTTTATGGAAATTGTCGTGAAACTTCTTAGATAACGAGTCGGAAAATTTGAGAATGACACGGCCCTATCGGCGGCGTGTTATTAATGCGCGCGCAGCATCGCCTGTTCGCCTGAACTCGTTGGCTCCGAAGGCCTGTCAGGAACCGGATATTTTGTAAACAACCGAGGCAAAGGGTTAATTAATTTTGCCTACTTTTTTCTACTTCCTGCGTTTCTCTTCCGTTCGGGTTATCAAGTACACTTGTCAGCGCAGCTGTCACTGACAACTTTAGACTCTGAACCGATCATCCATCAACTAACCGGTAATGCTGAAGATATTTTTTTTATAGTATGATAAGAGCGAATACATACCTGCACACCGACGTATTTTTGAGTGATATTTGAAAATCATTCGAGTCTCTTATCGTGTGTGGCGTTGTCTTTTCGAATTCTAATTGATCAAAACGAGAATAATAAATGCCGTTAGTTTAAAAATACTCTGTTCGTTGCAGTAATTTATCCATCGAAATCAACGGTCACGTGACCTCTGTGATATGGGTGTTCGCTTTACGGATTTCTTCCGGTTTACCAAATGGCAATTACTTAACTTTCCGTGACGCAACTATAACAAGGCGATTTAAATGTTGCGGTACTCGATGTGCCTGGAAATATCTGACAATAGCCGATCGATGAGGCTTTGTGCCTCAAAAAGAAAAATTGCAACGATTGGTAAGTGATACATACACACATATCACTCGATTTATTCAAATGCGACAACTATTTTGCATTTCATCTAAGAATATTAGAACAAGAATTGTGCAATATTTAATGCAATTAATGATCACAATTGAAATATTTGAGTAATAATTATCGTTACAGTTCACGTTTTTAATTTAACTCTGTTGTATAATTGCGATTAAGTACATTAGGTATTTAATCATCAATTGGATTAACAATTAAATTTATTATTTGATTTTCATCGTGAAATAAGCACATACACAAATACGATTAAAACATTTATTACAATTTGTATATAATAAAATATATTATAGAAGTATGATTATATTATTTTAAGTTGTGAGAGAGAGATTTTCTCTCTCGTGTATGTATGTATTGAAAAAGTTTGAATGAATTAGAATGGGATGTGCGTGTTAAATTTGGCGCTCATAACCTATATTCAGTAAGTGTACGGCTACACGGTATGTACCTGCGTTTGTCAAAAAGTTATGTGCTTTATTCAACGATAATCGAGGTTGAGTGCACATACCTTCTAAATATATTCTTTGTATACTTGTAGTTTATAATACTTTCATGTGATCTATGGATTAGGCATCCCTTTTAATATACCTATATTGTATGACATTTGTGTCTGTGATAACAAAAACACGTGGTCTACACATAGTTCATACATTTTTTAAAAATTTGTATAAATACGTGATGATAATTAATGTGCAAAGATTATAATTATGGTGCGTGGAAAAAGACCGATTCGAGGTGGAAAACGAAAATTCAACCAGCACGATAGTCGACCAAAACCAAAGAAAGGCAAGTTTAACCTAAAAGAAGCTTCATACGTTAAAGAGCGCGATGTCAAAAACAAGGAAATTGAAAAGCGCAGACAGATGTTGGAAAAAGAGAAATTAAGACAAGAGGAATTGGTAACAGATAGTTCTGACGAAGAACAGACAAATCCTTTGCAAGATTTACTTTCCACGTTTTCAAACGTTCGCTCTTTGCGGAAAAATGCTGTAGAGTCTAATTCTGAAAGCGACACATCCGATGATGAAAATGATGCTACAGAACATAAGAATAGTACCGAGAATGTGGCAGTGAATTCTGATGATGAGACAAGGATATCCAATCACAGCGAAAATGAAGAGATTCAAGTTAAAGAAATGGACGAAGAAGATCCTGAAACTGCAAGAGAAGATGCTGGGTATCTTAAAGATCCATTTTCCATTCATCTTCGAGACGACTTAAGCAATAAACTTTATGAGGCAGTTTCTACCATCCCTCAGATTGTAGAGAAACAGAACATAACATGGCCTGTTCTAAGAAATCTCATTTGTGAAATTCCTAAAGCACAACAGGATGAAGATCATATAAAACAAAGATCCAAAGTTTCTGTTTTGGAGGATAAACAATATGCACAATGTGGTAGAATACCTTCTTTAATTAAAACAGTAGATTGGAGTAAACTATACATAAAAGCGCAAATTCAAGGCAATGTCACAAGAGCTAATTATTCAAATGTAAAAGATAATGTTGATACAAATCCATCGCCTCTCACTCCTTTGCAAAAAGAATTGTTTTCAGTGATAAATAATTACCAAGATTTATATTATCCTGAAAGAACATTCTCTAACGCGGATCAAATAAGATTCGTATATTGCTTGCATGCAATTAATCATGCGTTAAAAACTAGAACAAAAGTGTTACATCATAATGCAAAAATAGCAAAAACAAAGTGTACAAATATGGCAGAGGTCCCTGACGAATACAGAGATCAAGGTTTAGTTAGGCCAAAAATTTTGATAATAGTACCCTTCAGACATTCTTGCTTAAAAATTGTTGAACTACTGATAGCCATTTTAATCGGAGAAGATAAAGGTGGCTCCGTAATGAATAAGAAGAGATTCATGGACGATTTTAGTGGTAATGAAATAGCGATGCCTAAGAAAAATCCCAAACCAGAAGACTACGAGTTAACATTTCAAGGAAACACAGATGACACCTTCAAAATTGGAATCTCTATCACAAAAAAGACTTTAAAATTGTATTCTGAATTTTATTCTTCCGACATTATAATCTCCTCTCTGTTAGGCTTAAGAATGTTAGTAGGAGCAGAAGGTGAAGCAGAGAGGGATTATGATTTTTTAGCATCGATCGAATTATTGATCATGGACCAAGCAGAATTATTTGTAATGCAAAACTGGGATCACATGGTTCATGTTCTGAATCATTTACATTTGCAGCCAAAAGATTCTCATAAAACAGATTTCTCTAGAGTAAGAAGCTGGTGTGTAAACGGATGGACTAAATATTACAGACAAACTTTAATATTCTCGGGCATCCATATCCCTGAAATCTACGGAGTATTCAACAAAAGGTGCCACAACTATGCAGGAAAAATCAAAGTAATGAATCCTGTTTCTCTTGGGTCTATTTGCCAGGTGGTTGTACAAGTGCCGCAAGTGTTTCACAGGTTCGAATGTATTAGTCATATTCAAGCCTTGGAGCAGAGAATGGAATTCTTTACAGCAAGAATACTACCTCAGTATAAGGACAGAATCATGAATCATACGTTAGTCTTTGTGCCATCTTACTTCGATTTTGTAAAGCTGCGAAATTATTTTAAAAATGAGGAATACAATTTCGTACAAATCTGCGAGTACACCAAGGACTCGAAAGTAGCGAGGGCGAGAGACATGTTCTATCACAGTGACGCTCATTTTCTGTTATACTCGGAAAGATTTCATTTCTTTCGTAGAATAAGAGTAAAGGGTATAAGACACATTCTATTTTATGCACCGCCCACGTTCCCCGAGTTCTACAATGAAATCTGTAATCTGATGCAAACATTCTATCAAAATCCGCGAGCGGGTTCCGACAGTAACATGACCGTGACCGTTTTATATTGTAAATACGATATTATGCAACTTTCTGCGATTGTGGGGACAGAGAGAGCAAAGAAGATGCTCGGATCAGAGAAATCTGTTCATATGCTCATGACCGGCGAATGAGAGAGATCGCAGGATTATCAAGGAACAATGTATTTTATACAATTAATGTAAATGTTTCAGGCTTGGTACATTAAACGGCTAGAATTTGTACTATCAGTAACAATAAGGTGTCTGTTCATATATATCGTTTTGTTCAAATTTCTTTATTATGTAGTTAGAAAATTACTTGAAATAATTACAACTTCGATTACACTTCTCCGAAACGATTTTATCTGTTACTTATCGCCTTATCGAACATATCGGTACGCAGTATCAAAACTAAAATTCTCGCGCGTGTTCTGAAAAGGTGATCCGAGCTCGAGTGGACGATCGAAATCATCGCGTTTAGTACTCGTTCCATGCAGAATGTTACAAATCGTGTAGCACGACATAAACATCGAATAAATGTACAATCCTGGATCCATTCAAATCTCTTCACGCTTCGATTTTCTTTTACATATCCTCGAACCTACTTCCTTGAAATCAACCTTGATCCTCTTATCACATTACCGACCGGCGACTTTATAGCCATTCCGAAACGAAAGTCAACAATTGTAGAGTTTCTTTAGACAATTTCACTCGTAAACCAGCAAATTATCTCGAGCAACGAAATCTATTTATTGTATCCCGAATCGGTGTTCTGATTCTAATTTTTTGTCCAGTGAGTAAAGCGTTCTATTGGACCCAATGTAATACGCTAATAATTTCAAGTGGCTGCTAGAAAATTCCAATTTTAGTTGGAACGTTCGTAATCACGGGTCAAAGCGGACCCGCCATTCAAGGGTTAATCGTTCGTTCGCTGTGTTCTGACAGAAACGATCAGGTTTCCCGTAAGCGAACAGTCGATCCGAACGCTATCAAAGTTAACGAAAAATCTAACGAAATCAAATTCGAATGCTACATACTTGATTTCTAAGGGATCTTTTAACGATCGATCAATCGTTCTCTGAACTCGTGTTAGTTAGACTTTTTCTCTGATATCCGTTATTCGAATTATCGAGAAATCCTACAGAGTCAACGTTGGAGTGTTTGAGAACGTTGTCTTGTTCTTCAATAAAGAGAATCCCAGTTGGTGTTGTCGATGAATTCGTTCGTAGCGATGAGATTGTTGAAGTCCTCACCGCGGCTTTCAGTTCCTCCGTTTGCTGGTCACCATCGGATACCGATCTCACCGTCGTTCTTTCCGCTTGCGTTTCTGAAACGGAAAACTGTTTCAAACGTTTGCCACGCAGAATCGTCTTTATATTTTTCAGAAAATTTCCACAAAAGGACATTCGTTGTAAGATACAAGGTTTGCCACGACTCGGAGTAGGATTTCATACGTACATCGATCATTTTGGTTACAGATCTGTACCAAACGGTTTCGCGTCACCCGGTTCTCTAATATCAAAATCGTTTATTATTTAAAACACTTTTCACATGCAACGAGCTCGATCGAAGGCAGCTCGTATATAAAACGATTTTCTATAGAAATCAATAAAGGTGAAATCTGGCCCTGCAACTGAGTCTGTAATCGATTACTTATCTTGAACTATTAATTTCTCCTGATTCGAATTATTTAAGAAAGAAACGAAGTTGCATTTGGCTTCTATGTCCTTCTGATTAATGTAGATAATTTTTATTTTACTACGTAAGTATGCAAATGTCACGTAACTTACAATTACAAGGAACTGTTCTATTATCTGGACATTTATGCCCATTCCACTTTGTCTAGACACAATCGTATCATTACTACTATCGTATCATTAAAATCCCATTCCGAATTTCGTCGTCAACCTGTACTTCGATCTGCCTAGAGATTCCAAAGAATATTTTTACCGTTGAAGCCAGAGAGTGTGGTAAGAGAATTCGGTAATTTGGTATCGACGCATTCCGGTTTCGGCCTGATCCTGACGGTCACATCTTTCGGGTCCCATACGAAGGTATAGTACAACGAGAGCAGTATTGCGCCCATGCTAACGAATATTACGTAGGCCACCACCGTCAGCACACGCACCAATTTCTGCTTGTGCTTCGGCTCGTACAGCTTGTCTTTCCTCTCATCGCCGGCGAATCGTATCTCGTTGCCAGTCGGTTTGTTCTCGCGACTACCCGTTTCCGAGTTCGTTTTTTCCGGGTTCAGATTCTGCGCGCTCATTTTTCGCGGCAGCTGCATAATCCTCCGCGTGCCCTCTTCACGTCTCTTGAACAGAGATAGAAAGAGGAACTCCTCGAGTCTGTTCCGGACGCGATCCGCGGGACCTTGATCACCATTTTAGCCGAGTAACTCTGCCACCATCTTTGTTTTAATCTTAACGATACGAGGAAATGCTCGAGAAAAGTTTGATTCAAGAGAGAGAGAACCCGTTGCGACGCGAACCGCCTTCGTTTTCACGGTCATAGTTCACGAGAATTTCATGCTCGAAACTCGAGCCAGGTTCAAGGCGAGTCCAACAACCTTTAACCTTTTTGCGAGTAAGGGATTTTTAAAAGTGAACACAGCTGTGGATTAATCGTTGTTATGCGCTATAAAAAGCTTTGGGTTAGTACGGGTTAAGTACTCGTTTCGGCCAAGAAATCTAGGCCGTACTTGCGAAATATCGCGAACTACGAGAGACGTTGATTAGCAACAAATAAATGGAAACGGATCTTTGTTCGACGAAACGTTCTTTTGCACAGCATAAGCTAATCTAAGCTTTGAAAACCAATCCAGATTTATCGTCGACAATTTATGGAAAATCGGCAATTCAACGTACGACAAGTTTCTGTAGGAGCAAAGTTACTCGGCCGTCGATCGTTGATAATAAGATTCATTATCACGGTCGATGGTAAGTTGCGGCTCTTCGCGAATAATTACCAAAATCTGAGCTCGGACCGCGACGGGTCGTCGGAAGTCCTCGACGAGAGCTTCGAGGGCAGCAGCATTGTGACTGCGGGGAAGTTTCTGGAAGCTTCGTACGTTTATAACTTTTCCGGATTGTTTACGTATATCAATGATCAGCAAAGACCGCAGGTGGCGAGCCTTGTCCAATTTCGTCGGCGCACAAATCACAGAGCTCCGACCGGAGATTGTTTTTCCACCATTTCCGAGTTCTTTTCGATGCTTTCGATCGGGAGGGAGTGTGTGCGTGTATGTATGTATACGTGTGTGTGAGAGAGAGAGAGAGAGAGAGAGAGAGACAGCGAGAGGGAGAGAGCCCAAACACGCTAGATAGGGCGTTACCGGAGGAAAGCTGCAAGCTCCGCGAACGCGATACAGAGGCGCTGCACAGTCTCCAGTTTCCACGGTTATGGCAGCGCAGGCGAGCCGAAAGCTTCGGAGATCGCGCGCCACGCGCCCACGGGATTTTCCTTTTCGTATCGTTACGAACTAATCCACGATTATTTCTGTTCGTTGACTCGCGGGATCAACCTTTCCCACCAACGGCAACTGCTGAAAATGCACAGGCGAGGCGACGACACCGGGCGAGAGCTTTCACTGCGCAAACTCGGGAACCTTGACTCGGCGTGCTTCGTTTTGCAAGCTTCAAGGGCCGGTGCAAGAACTTCACGGGATTCATCGGTCAGGCAATTGCCCTTTAAACCGATGCTCCCCTATGCCCTTGTTACGCTGTCGAAGCTCGCGCTTGTCGCGCGAACCTCTCGCAGGCGAAGCTCGCACGCGAGCGGAGCTTTTGCGGAAAATGTGCGACCTCGCGCACTTTCTCGAGCATCGATCCCCGGCGAGGCATCGCGAAATCAATCGGACGATTCGAATAAGATCAAGGAGATCGACTAGAATTTGCCGAGGCTGGTCGATGACGCGCGCGGCTTCACCGATATCGTGCGATTACGGTTAAAGCTGCGGCCCGAGCCTGAGCTCGGCATTTACGAATTCAGCGATCACCTCGGTATCGAGTTGGAGGGCTTCCGCAAAAGTGACAAAGAACCGATTAAAAGTGTTGCGCAAGCGTTTTATGTAAGCTCGGGCAGCTCGCGTATCGTTTCGGAGGTGTCGGAGGAACGTCGGCGTGGCGATAGTTGCGTAACCGTAATATCATCAGTTTATCGAAACGTTTCGAATGAAAATACGAATTTCCTTGCACCGGCGTCGACTCGTTCGACTGGAAAAGCTCGTCGAACGTCCATAAATACGACTGGATTTTTCGCATTCGAAATTTCGCGACGCATTGAACATTCTCCATATATATACATATACATGTAAAGATCGAACGTTTATGACGCGGATGAAAAATAGGAAAAATAGCCCGTCGAAATGAAAAATTCGTAAACGCTTCGAGACCTTCGTTTGTCGAGCGAACGGTAGAACCCGCGTTCGCTCGTTCCTCGCTAAGGAGGCGCGCCTTTGTCTCAATAGCATTACTCTTCGATCAGTTCGCGACCAAACGCGGGCTTTCTATTGGCGTGAAAAGAACGAAACCGCCTCGGTTGTTATCGATTCGGATTTTCGTCGCGTTAACCCAGAAGCAAATCGTTCAAATTAGATAAGTGTTAAGGAAGCCCTCCCCCGAAGCCACTGGCGATCGTTTTTAGAAATTGTGAAATCATTGCATCGACGCGTCGCCGAAGAAGCCATAATGGATCGACCTGACCCTGTTTCAGTTGCTACAGGCATTGCGCGAACAATAAGGATGATCGCGGTGCGCCGATCCAACGGCGGCGCGGCGCTCTTTATTTCTAAGGTTTTAATCGCTGCGTTTCATCCCGCCCGAATCCGAGCATTCCAATCTTCCCCATGATCCGAATTCTAGCTACGAGCATAGCTAGAAAAAGCTATGAGAGCCGTCGAGAAAGCTTCGCTTACAATTAGCCGTGCACGTTCGAGATCGTTTATTTACCTCTTAAATTCATAGCAGCGCTCGCGAACGTTCGGGACGGTGGCTTTAATTCCGGGCGATCGGCATATGAGCCGTTTATTTTGAAAGTGGCATAAGCACTTGACCGTGATGAAAAGTGGTGATTTTTTAATGTTTTATACCGAGAAAATTATCAGTATCCTGAGATATAACAAATACAAGTAAATCTTCTCGAACGTTAGCATCCATATTTTGAAACGTGTTAAAACGCAAACCCTTAGATATATCGACTTAAAAACAAAGTGACCTATGCCACTTTCAAAGTAAACGGCTCATATTTCCATTTACGCGAGGGATTTATGGCTCTCGGAGGTTCCTTTCCATCGGTCGCAGCAACCGTCGATTTATCAATGAACGTGACCGTTCCAATAGCGCTCGACGATTCCTCGTGGAACGAGTCTATTCGACGATTCCGGACATCCTTAACGGGCCAAGTCTCACCTTCGATAACATCCTCGCTGGTCATCTCGTCGACCGTTCCCATCTCGATCGGTGAACTCGCCGGAATGCGATCCTTCCCTTGATCCTGCGCGACAAGTCCGTTCGCCTGATCGCCGAAAATGGTCGGAGATCCGGTTTCACTTTCGACGATCTTTTCGGTCAAGTTCGACCCGGTGGTGTTGTACTTCGTCCTGTTCCTCTGCTGATCCATTATGTACAGCTTCAGCATCAGCAAAGATTGGTCTAGAATCTGCTGTCGCTTGATCAGCCGACTGGTTTCGTTCGAATCGTCGTCGACGGTGCGGCCTCTGAATTTCTCGGCTCTCTCGAACGGGATTTCATCGTCACCGACCAAGAATTCCGGCCGCCGTAGAAGCCTCGGGTCCGGCGGGACCCAGAGGAACAAGTAGTACGCGCTCAGGCCTATAGCCACGAAGCTAACGGAGATCATGTAGGCCACCGCGGTGATCAAGCGGACAACCTTTTTGGAGCTTTTGGTCTCGTACAGTTCCGCGTTAGAATCGCTGGTTTCTTGAGAAGCACCCTCTTCGCCGGCCACTTTCTTGCTCATTTTCGCTCGAGTTTATATCGAATGTCTATATGCTCGATTTACTATCAGTCTGCTTTAGACGCGCTCACGTCTCCCTCGCAGTTTCACACACCTCGCTATATTCTTCTCGCGTTGTCATCGCATGCGACCGTCGACGTTCCAGCGAAATCTCACCGAATCTACGCTCGCATTTACTACGAATTACTGGAGGACTCGAGGACTTCTCGCATCGATATCGCACGCCTACGATTCTGTCTATCAACGAGCGCTTCGAGGTCGAGATGTTTTTAGCTCGTCAACAAACTCTCGTCGGCTGGTGCACCTCGTAGCGATAAAGTGCCCGTGTTTCTCAGACGATGCGGAGGACACGTTCCCGCAGCAGAAGCACGCGCGACTGCAACTTCTCCGCGAACGTTCGTAGAAAAGCGCCGTTCCTTCAGCTTCAGCACGTGTTAAGCCCGCGCGCAAGCGTCCGTGCGCGAATTCTTTATTCGCCGGTTCATCAGCCATTTCACCTCGACCCTTCCGAGAAGCCCAAGCAATTCTGCTCGTTGCCGAAAGCGCGCTAATTTTCCTCCGTACGCTCGCACGCGCAGCTCTCGTTGCACTGGCCAGAAAAATCATTCGAAACCTCGCGATTGTCCGAGGATGCATCGACTGGATTTATTCCCGGCCGGTTCGTTGAAAAGTTGCTTTCTCCCTCGGGCTGTCTCTACGAGCGTTAACCAACGTTTCAGCGTTCGAGGAACAAGAGATCACGCGAACCGTGTACAGTGACCGAAATAATGATGTAAGTCACATTTTTGTGATATAACAGCGCGTTTAATAATAATAATAATAATATAATGTTTATTAATGAGGTTATTATGTCGATGTTCGGAAATTTCAAAGAGTTGGAAATTTTGGACGAAATAAATATAGGTTCACTTAATATTCTTGCATTTGTGTTTAAACAAATTATCATAAATGGGACTAGAAATCGAGTTATTTACGAAGAAAACTTAACCCTTTTGCGGACGAGGATTTTTAAGAGCACTGTAAACATTTTTCTCAAAGGATTAGAGTATCCATCAAGTACTTCAATAATTGGAAGAATAAACAATATATCATGATCTTTTCCTATGTCGTCGCTGTGTCGACATTCGTCCTCAAAGGGTTAATATTGAGTTGGTCCTAAAATTATATTATTTAAATAATTATGTCTTTCACTAAAAATGGAGTGTATCTATTATCTCGGCCACTGTATCTAGAGTGAATCGGAAATTCGTGTACATTTTTCATGTATTACTTTCGCGCCAATTCGAACAATTGATAGAGTTCGTGTTCTTATCTACGCGATGGTTAATTTTGTAACTTCTGAATCATAAGAATTTCTTTGGAATGAACGAGAGGAAGGAATGACAAAATCAACCGTACAGTAGAACCTCTATTATACAAATACGTTTCACATGGAAACAGTTCAATATAAAACGATCCGTATACTACACGTACATCGCTGTCCACGAGTACTCGTCACTTTTAATGAATAAGTAAGATACAATATGAATTATTGCTATAAAACAAATTCGGCAAATTTCCAATTTTTCTAGTAGTATTAAGTTGAGCGATTTAATTAGATATAACGAAGAAATTGATAACTGGATTGCGAAAATTAGTAAAATAAAGTTTAGGAGCACACGAGCAGTAAATCGACAAAAAGAAAATTTAATCGTTTCTCATTATAATTGGTGAACTATATAATACGTGATTGGTAAAATATGTTCTTTTTTATCGTAATAATTATCTCAAATTATAATAATTATTCATTATTGATTTCGCAATAAAATGTCCGCATATTTATGGGCGGGGATGTACATCTGTATAGTAAGAAAAAAATGTTATGTAAACATAGGTCATACAGAGCTTCATTAAGAAGTTATAACAAAAATTCAGAATAGGAATAGTAATCAACTTGCTGTTACTGCGAGCATTGGCTTGAATAGATCAGCACATGCCGTGTGTTTATGTAAGCTGTGTTTATTAATACATTTCGAAATGTATTAATAAACACAGCTTACATAAACACACGGCATGTGCTGATCTATTCAAGCCCTGTCTCTTATACACATCTAGATGTGTATAAGAGACAGGGCTTGAATAGATCAGCACATGCCGTGTGTTTATGTAAGCTGTGTTTATTAATACATTTCGAAATGTATTAATAAACACAGCTTACATAAACACACGGCATGTGCTGATCTATTCAAGCCCTGTCTCTTATACACATCTAGATGTGTATAAGAGACAGGGCTTGAATAGATCAGCACATGCCGTGTGTTTATGTAAGCTGTGTTTATTAATACATTTCGAAATGTATTAATAAACACAGCTTACATAAACACACGGCATGTGCTGATCTATTCAAGCCCTGTCTCTTATACACATCTAGATGTGTATAAGAGACAGGGCTTGAATAGATCAGCACATGCCGTGTGTTTATGTAAGCTGTGTTTATTAATACATTTCGAAATGTATTAATAAACACAGCTTACATAAACACACGGCATGTGCTGATCTATTCAAGCCCTGTCTCTTATACACATCTAGATGTGTATAAGAGACAGGGCTTGAATAGATCAGCACATGCCGTGTGTTTATGTAAGCTGTGTTTATTAATACATTTCGAAATGTATTAATAAACACAGCTTACATAAACACACGGCATGTGCTGATCTATTCAAGCCCTGTCTCTTATACACATCTAGATGTGTATAAGAGACAGGGCTTGAATAGATCAGCACATGCCGTGTGTTTATGTAAGCTGTGTTTATTAATACATTTCGAAATGTATTAATAAACACAGCTTACATAAACACACGGCATGTGCTGATCTATTCAAGCCCTGTCTCTTATACACATCTAGATGTGTATAAGAGACAGGGCTTGAATAGATCAGCACATGCCGTGTGTTTATGTAAGCTGTGTTTATTAATACATTTCGAAATGTATTAATAAACACAGCTTACATAAACACACGGCATGTGCTGATCTATTCAAGCCCTGTCTCTTATACACATCTAGATGTGTATAAGAGACAGGGCTTGAATAGATCAGCACATGCCGTGTGTTTATGTAAGCTGTGTTTATTAATACATTTCGAAATGTATTAATAAACACAGCTTACATAAACACACGGCATGTGCTGATCTATTCAAGCCCTGTCTCTTATACACATCTAGATGTGTATAAGAGACAGGGCTTGAATAGATCAGCACATGCCGTGTGTTTATGTAAGCTGTGTTTATTAATACATTTCGAAATGTATTAATAAACACAGCTTACATAAACACACGGCATGTGCTGATCTATTCAAGCCAATGCTCGCAGTAACAGCAAGTTGATTACTATTCCTATTCTGAATTTTTGTTATAACTTCTTAATAAAGCTCTATATGACCTATGTTTACATAACATTTTTTTCTTACTTTGTGCCATAGAATATACTGACAAAGTTTGAACATTAAAACCTGGGTCACCCTGTATACGTATTATTCGAGCATTCGGGAAATCGAGGTTCTACTGTACGACATAATTAGGAGAGTGATGCACGAAGAAACGCGCGTATTTATGAGTCAGCTCGAGATACAGTACCTGGAATCCCGGTTCTGGATTAGACATAGTGCGCGGTGAACTCGATGATGCAACGCGGGGATTTTGCGGAGTTTCTTCTGATCGTGGACTCGCTGTGTACGACAGATTGGGGACGCGTTGTTGACTGCCCAACACTCGGAGAAGTTGAGTCAACAGGTCGTTCGAGCCGTCGAAACACGGTATCGGGATCGTCGTTTGACTACTTTGTTGGGCAATCAAAGAGTTCAGAGCTGGCAGCAGTGCCGGGGCGTAAAGCAACACCGCTAATCTACGCAGCAAGCGTACGAAAATCAATTAGCGGAACAATGAATGGTTATTTAAATGAAGTCGATTCGAAGGCAAGATAGGATATTGGAGCCAATTACTGTACCTCATTGGCAGATTTCATAAGTTTTCGCTGTTAAAAACAACTTAAGCGGTTTAATTGATATTTCTTAAAAACTTAAAGGTTTTCAAAGCTTAATTACTTTATCGATATCAATTTTCCTATAAAACAAGTATCTTCTCAGGGGAAACAAAGCTTCTTTGAATGTGATTTACAAATCTAATCACCTAATGTGTTACCCATGATCTACAAAAATCAGTTACTGTGCCTTCTCCCTGAATACTCAGTCTCAATAATCGTGCACGCAGTAAAAATGTAATATTTAACATACTTTAAACAATTTTACTTTTTTATAAAAAAGGAAACGAAATTGTATCATAAGTCACTTAAAAAATATATTAGGGATGACCGTTTGAATAAAATTTCATATTTACATTTTCTTTCTATAAAAATATGAGAGAGACGATTAAAGATTTGAGGTTATGTAGGCCTATTCTGTGATAAGCGGTACGGTAGTAACTAATGCTACGAGCGAAAAAGAGGTCCAGTTACTGTACACAATAAATAAACTGTGGAAATTGAAACCAAAAACAAAAATTTAAGTAAATAATCATTGTTTTATTCTTCCGCAATCTTAATACGTTTTATAAGACTTGAAATAATTTTTGTGATATTTTAAGTGCTTTCGTCTTTCATTTCAACAAATAGATAGTTGATTGAATTGAAATAAAAGTTTAAATAAAAATATTAAAATATTAAAACATGAAAATAAACTAAAGGCACAGTAATTGGCTATGCCATACAGTGGGCTCCGCTATCCTAGGGGTCTGAAATAAAAATTCTGGGTCAAACCGTAGCAATCGAATGGTCATTCCGTTCGGGTCCAGCATCTGATTCGTTAACACAGGTTGCATCATGGGAGTGCAAGCGGTGTGCACGTTGCTTCTCGGGGTCGGCACTCTTTTCTGTGCGCGAGCATTCCTCTGAATCATTCTCGCTAAATTTCTTGCCTGTTCGTTCATCGACCGGATCCTCTCTTGCTGCAACTTCTCGAGACGATTCTCCTCGCGTCGCGCGAAACTGTTTTCGAAGTACTTGATGCGTTTCAAGGCACGCTTCTCCGCGAGATCGTCGCTCGATCCTGCTGACGTGGTGCTCGCCGGTTTCCGTTCAGAGTTCTCGCGGCGAAGTTTCGGCTCCGCCGTTGTTGGTAATATGGAACCGTTTACCGTAAACCCGGCCTGCTTATAATCCTCGTGTTTAACGTCGGAGTCAATACAGCGCGACGTTTCCGGTTCCTGTTTCTCGTCGGATCTTTGGCAAGCTTCCATCAACGCCTTTTCATCGATAGCGTCGATAACTCGGAAACACATTAATTGAAAACGCATTGACAATCAAAGTCTAGGGATCGCTGAATCTTGGACAGAGATGCGAACGACATATTTTTAAGATTCACTGTGAAGGGAAGACCTCGACCTTCAAATTGGTGGTAACTCAAATAACGTTGTTCGAACTTATTGAACTTTTTTTTTTGTCTCTACATTTCCACTGGCTCCCTAACGGAGGAAACGCAACACTTTAAATCAGGGGTGTCAAACTCGCGGCCCGAGATGAACATTTTTGATGTCAAGTGTTTATTACAATGTACTAGTCAAAATAAAAATATTTGTTTCTATGAACATCGATTTTCTTTTTTTGCGGTCCACCTAAAGTTAAGCATTGTTTATTTGGCCCAAGTTAGCTGTTGAGTTTGACACCCCTGCTTTAAATGAAGCCCAGGTAGGGTAGTGAAGCTGTTTACCGTGGGGTGACCGATTGCTGTGCCTTTGGCTTGTTTTCGGGCATAGTTATGTAACTTAAAATTTATCGAATAGAACATATCGCATCTCTTTATTCTTCTGTTTCGTTTATTTCTTAATAAAAGCATTTAATGTGTCTTGTCCGATAAGTATGAAGTTAATTATACCCGAAAATTCAAAAAATAAATGAAATAAATAATAACCAAAATTTAATACGTCCGATTTCTAAACTCATTCTCCAACCCAAGACTCGACGATCCTTTGACATCGATTTGAATTTTCGATCGGATTACGTACAGTTTTCACGAGGAACTGCGTCTTCTGCGTGTTAATGGCGATCGAGGATTTCGCAGAACCGTCGAACATCTTAGCTGCGTCGCGGTTGCTATCAGCTTCCAAAATATTATTGTTGTCCGCTTGTAAACGTGCGTTCGTATATCCGTTCGAGAAGTATTTACGAACGTCGGGTCTCGGACGAGTTTGGTCGTGTCTCGAAACGTTAGGCGGCGATATTGGGTCTTGCGGAATGATCATAGCAANTCAAGTGTTTATTACAATGTACTAGTCAAAATAAAAATATTTGTTTCTATGAACATCGATTTTCTTTTTTTGCGGTCCACCTAAAGTTAAGCATTGTTTATTTGGCCCAAGTTAGCTGTTGAGTTTGACACCCCTGCTTTAAATGAAGCCCAGGTAGGGTAGTGAAGCTGTTTACCGTGGGGTGACCGATTGCTGTGCCTTTGGCTTGTTTTCGGGCATAGTTATGTAACTTAAAATTTATCGAATAGAACATATCGCATCTCTTTATTCTTCTGTTTCGTTTATTTCTTAATAAAAGCATTTAATGTGTCTTGTCCGATAAGTATGAAGTTAATTATACCCGAAAATTCAAAAAATAAATGAAATAAATAATAACCAAAATTTAATACGTCCGATTTCTAAACTCATTCTCCAACCCAAGACTCGACGATCCTTTGACATCGATTTGAATTTTCGATCGGATTACGTACAGTTTTCACGAGGAACTGCGTCTTCTGCGTGTTAATGGCGATCGAGGATTTCGCAGAACCGTCGAACATCTTAGCTGCGTCGCGGTTGCTATCAGCTTCCAAAATATTATTGTTGTCCGCTTGTAAACGTGCGTTCGTATATCCGTTCGAGAAGTATTTACGAACGTCGGGTCTCGGACGAGTTTGGTCGTGTCTCGAAACGTTAGGCGGCGATATTGGGTCTTGCGGAATGATCATAGCAACATTGTGCGTCGAGCAGACGGCTGCGGAATTGTTGCCCCATGTTCTTGGCCTGCATCCGTGACTCGCGGGATCTCTTATGGGATAAACGTCGTTCTGCGAATTAGCAAGGTACATTAGCAAAGTACCATTTCGAAAGTTGATCTTTGTTTACCTGGAAAGAATTCCCGCAGTTCCTCCAGTTCGTGCGATCCACGGTCGAGTCTACTTCCTGTCTCGCGTGACGCATCCTCCTCGAGAAAACGTTCGTTCTCTCTCGGTTTTGATTGAAATCTCGGGCACCAACCATGGTTCCTCTTCGACTCTCCGATGATTTCCCAGCGTTCGATCCGTATTTATTCGCGAGAGAGCATTCCTTCCAGTTCACGTTCGCCTGCGACTTCGAAAGATTTGATTCGCAAGCGAGCAAACTAAATGGCGGGATATTAACGTTGGAATACCGATTGATGCGCGGAAACCGTGTTGCGCGATATTAAGGGTAGCATCATCTTGGTTCTCGTCAGTTCTCTTTCCATCGCCGCATATCTCTCTTCCATCTGTCTGATGTATTCCAGTAAATACTGATCGGTTGTGTTTCTGTAATAATGCGAGTGTAATTAAATTTGATTAAATAATAGTAATTTATTAAATTTATTTATTAAATAATTTTATTAAATAATAATAATATTGTAATATAATTTAATATATTAATATAATTATAATATAATTTATAATAATATATAATAATATAATTTAATATAATATATACATATATAATTTATATATAATTTAATATAATATATTATAATAATATATTATAATATAATTTAATTATTAATTTAAATTTCTGAAGCCACTGTAAAAGAGAACTACCATGAATGGCACACACACATATTGGATAGGATATTGCCATTATCTAAAAAATTATGAATTTTTCTATAATAAAATCATACTTGTTTCGTAACTATATTACGCACATCTAATCACACGTAATTTGAAGCCGCTACCTGGTTATATAATGCGTAATCTGTCGAACAATTGATTTTTTAATGCTTGAAAGTAATATCTTTCCTTTTCCATCATAACGTTGTATGAAGTACTGTTACTTTTGATTGAGTGTTTAATTATTGTATTCGGTCAAGTATTTCCTCGAGCATGTTGCTATAGAATGTTGGCATCGGACAGTCTTTTTTATCATAGTAATTAAACAAGTTAAATTTTTAATGTTGTCATATAGATAAACGAAACATGCAGCATGATAGTGCCCTAAACTTTTTTTTGCTTATTGTGTCATTGATTTTTAAGATATTTAATTCAGTAATTTTTGTCAATATTTTCGGTTTCTTTTTATTCAGAGAATTATTTTTTGTCATAAAATACTGACGCGTGGTACATTAAACCAAAGATGTAAAGAAGATTTATGCAATTTTGAGATTAGTATATAACATTATATATACTTACAATGAATAAAAAGAAGAACAGTACTTATAATATTAATACCAATATTATCTTATTGCAACCATTCAATGCAACCGATTGACGAATGGGACAAAATGCACTTTTTAAAACAATTAAAAACCTAAACCTAAATCTAAATTGACACTATGCATTCTTATAGTAAAAGAACTGATCTGTCGAATGTTTCAAACTAGGATTAGGTATGTTGTTTAAGTTTTTTGTTATCTTGTCCTAAATAAAAGTGTCCTATTAATATGGCAGTACTTTCCTATATTAGTTTTCATAGGATTTTGCTACTAACATTCGAGGTGCTCTAAGATAGGGATCATCGAGGACAATAAGGTTAAGATCAAGCGTAAATCCATCATTTCTGGATAAGGGCATTCTTGTCAGCTGAGCGATTGGTGGTCCCTGCTGCGTTCGCATAGTCACAAGTTGCCGAAGGCACTCGTTGCGTCTCCATTGTTCGCTCCGATCGTCCACGGATTCCAAAAATAATTGTCTTCCGAACATACTTGTAAATTTGATTGAGGCACGGGAAATTTCGTTGGGTTACGGAGATAGTCGAAAGGGGTGCGCGTCCGGTTAATTAAATCTAGGCTATACGTTGTCCATCGTTTGTTTTTCCTACATTTTGCCTACAACTTGCGAAACTTGAAGATTGACGCGAACACTTTCAAAATTCGCCGAATCTGTTACTTCGTTCTAGAGACTCGTATGATTCCATTTTTATAAACGGACAACGGATCTTTACGAATTCGTGGCATACACAAGGATTAATATCATTTCAATTTTAAACAATGACGAATTTTGTTATCGACGAAGGAAACTTTTCTCTGATTTTAACTTTCGTTAAGAAAACATATGAATGTGGAAATCTGCGGTCAATTTATGAATTACTTTTTTTTATCCAATTTATTATTTTATTCTAGAGTTTACAACGTTTAGCTTGATTTCAACTGACAAAAATTCGGTACGATTTTTGTTACGATATATGCTTAAAGAAAGAAATTTCTCTCATAAAAACATATTCATAATTTCATAAACTATAAATTAATCCGTCATTTTGCCCCTGATTTGATCTAGCGTTAATAAATTGAATTGTCGCGAAAAAATTATACGATTATTATAAAGACTGCCTATGTCGTGTGTAGCAATGTGCATGGGATAGTAGTAGTAGAGCTTATGCCTCGCGGTCGAAATGACTCGTTTGTTTTATACAATTTTTTCAGATTGAATATTGTCTTCCTTCACACGAGACACCACGTAGCTAGTCGTTAGCATTCTCTCGTTCCAAGAATTGCAAAATATTTACTAAACGGGCACGTATCTTGTCCGTGTAGCTTTAAGAATAGACCGATATTTTTAGAGAGAAATATCTCGGCCCCTGATTACAACGAGAAACGCATGTTGTTAGTATTAATCGATTTATTCGTTCTTCGACAAGATTGTTCGTGCGACTATGTATTTGTCTCAGTTTCTATGCTCGGTTTTGTGTAGCTAGAGACAGAATTAATACGATATTCGATAATACACTCAGTATATGTAATATACACACATAATTCGATATATACACTCAGAAGTCCGAGGATGTTGTTGGAGTTTCAAATGCTATTCAAAAACGATGAAGTTTCAATATTTAATGAAATTCGAACCAAATGTCACAGACTTGTGTGCTGTTTCTAGATTTGTTGTCTGCTGGCGAACATTTTGATATATGTAATATGCTAGATGGTAAATATGCTATATTACGTTATGTATCGAGTCAATAGTCAATAGTTACATATTTACGCACGAACAGAACAGGTAGTTTTGTATTAGAGCATAGTGTAAGATAGAGTCAGGTGTTTATCGAAGATTTTTCTAACCTGATTTTTGTTGAAACAAATTTGTGTGATTTAAGATATCAATAATTGAATTGCAAATGCAAATGCATTAAAAATGTGGATTTGTAAATTGCCAGCAATATCGAAAAGTTGGAAGTTGAATCCGATTTGTCACCTATACCTACTGAAAACTAGCCGCCATTCCCAGCACAATGCCAATTTGTCACGCTTGGTTCTTGATTCGACCAAGTTCGCAGTCTAGTGCAGTGTATTACGATATAGAAGTCTGTGGTGCACCAGCATCAGTTGTATGTACATAAATTAGTCAATTAGTCATCACAAAAGATCCCGATTGTTGCCGTTATGTATCACACGGACTGGATTAAAGTATTTCATGGTTGATCGGCCAGAAACACATTACTGTCTGGAAATAAAAACACAAAGGAATGTTGACGCAGGTTACGAAGGATGTAATAGTTTTCCGTTAGATCGTGCAATCCTTTTTTTTGTGGAATGGTCAGCCTACTCCGAAACTCGAATAGATCCAGCAGCGTAAGTAAAATCAGACAAATATTTAGAAATTCTGTCACAGCTTGATCGCATCCCTTCGCTGTTATCGCTGATGCAACGTAAACATAACCTTCTCGCGACGTTTTTGCGTTTCTGTTGCTCCATTTCAGAGAATATGCTGTGGCAAGCGTCTCTACGCTTTAAGCCATTTACTGCTGAATAGTACTCGAATAGAATGAAAGTATTTATTGGAAGCGAAACTGGAAGATTAAGATTTATTAATGCGATTGCTGCGTATAGCCTTTTGCATCCTGCAAATCCACATGATACTGGATTTTGAAATGTGATCAAAGAATAGTGACAGTCGATGCGTTGACACAGTGGTTGTTTTTAATCATTGGATTCGTTAGGGAGCAGTGTTCTTGGATGCATCTGTCAATATGGATGATGACGAATACCTGACGCCTGTGTTCAATCCTCAAGAAGAAGGGTACTTTCATAAATTGGAAACTGTTCCCATTGCGTTGGTTCCTCTCATACTTGGTGTGAGCATCATCTTCATTGGTATAGTTGGACAGCTTCTAATTTTCTCATATGGTATCACAAGGTTTTTTCTTCTTTCAGCTTTGTTTAGAGATCACAGGGATTATATTTGTATGCGTGTGGCTAGAAGAGCAAACTAAATGCGATACTTATTTTATATATTTGTATCTTCATTGCGCATATTGGTTGATAATTTTGATAACGGATCACTTGATCAAAAAGAAACACCATCATTTACGCATTTATGGATACCTGGAGTTTTATCAGATGACGTATCGGCCTGTAAGGGCTCCCCTGTTCATAGCCTCATTGTGGGTTGTGTGTTATCTATTTTTGGCCATTGTTCTGCATCATACGCATAAATTAAATTACGAGGAATACTGTCGAGCATCGGAGTGGTTTACTCCATTGAATTATATTTTACTTTTAACAACGTTGGAGTTGCTGATTATAGTGCCAGTATATGCACACTATATTAGTAAGTATATACTATACCTGGCAGAAAATGTGCAGACGCATAGGATTCTCTGGAACATGATTTTTTGATTTGTAGGAAAAGTTTTAACGTTCAACCGTTTGCGTCCGAAACCGGACGTCATACGAGAGGAATGGTTGTCGTCTTTTACCTATGTTAGTTACGCTGCCAGGCTGGGAATAGATTACCATCGTACCGATTCACACATAGAGGAGTTGCTAGAGAAACAGGCAGATTTCATAAGATACTTTACGGATTTTTATAATACTTTCACAAGTAAAGTGGAGGTTACTCGTTAATTGTGCGCATCGATAACAGAAACAGAAGAGAACAGCGAATCAGATGTAGCACTATTTTATGAACGATGCAATGATTTAGATCAAAATAATCTGTATGTACAAATCGTAAATAGTAAGAAGGAAGTACGTTCGTTTAATTCATGCAATCTTGGAGAGTTCGATTTTATACGGTTTACGTTCACTGCATCTTCTGTGCGGTGTATATGAGATTTTTCACAATATTCTATAATTTCTGTGAGAAAAATGTACATACGTAAGTGCAATTCGAATAAAAGAAATAATATATCATCGTTATTTTGTTGATGCAACAAGTAGTCAATACAAACTGTGATATTTTCGTGAATACAGTTTTTACTTTCTAAAATGTCCTTAAGAAAACGTTTCTCCTTGTAATAACGGCAGATGCTCGAACAATAATGGGACGAATCAACATCTGTATAGTAATGTTTCTGTTGTATAATTTAATATTAACATTATAACACAAGTCTATATTTATACATACTTTTTATACATTTGTATACGTGTATATTCCTATAAATGCCTAATAATACCTATTTTACGTAGATGTAAACCCAACGCAATATGTACGCAGAGACAAGGAGAATGTTTCAAGCCTTACGTATTGGTCCGTAATTAACGCGACGCCTCTACTGTCCATGGGACACCATGAAGCACAAAATCGACACGATTTTGTCGCGGTCTTCCAGGTAGAATGACTCGGGGGAAACGGTTTTGCATTGCGTCGAAACAAGAGAGATACGTTCGCAGGAAAGCTCTACGTATATTCCGCCAGGCTTAGAATCGTTCGCTATATCGTACGTACGCTTGTTTTACGGTATATAAAACTAACTTACACGTATGGAACACTCAATTATACAACGCTATAAAACGTACAAGCTTGTACTCCGTCGAGATTTCCTAGACACTCATGATCGCGACGCTTCGCTCGAAACGCGAAACGATCGTTATCTATCTATCTATCTATCAACGAGGTGGTGTCGACGACACAACAAGTTCTGTTGTTTTTCATTTCTGAAAAGTTTGTACTACGCTTAGGCCAGCCATTTCTGCTGTATCTGTGTGTAGATGTGTTTGTCCTCCGTACGCAAGGTGCTCGATGAATGCATACACGCGCAACCTCCTGGGAAACTATCGAAGATATCAGATCTTTCATAGACAACGAAAGTTTCTTTAGCCCGAGACGGAGATGTTCATTTTCTTATAGGTGAATGGACTCTTTTTGACTTTTAACACTAAAACTACGGAGCACCAAAAGTGACTAGTTTAAAGCAACTAGAAGACATTTATCAAGACGTTACACGAGTTTTGTACACAGGATACATCTCAACGAATAGATATATCTAGCAATTGCCCATACAAGCATCTTTACAATCTCACAATAATTCTGAAATAAGGAATCTGAAATCGGCCATTACGATGGGTTCGGTAGTTCCAGTATTAAATCCATAAGATTCACCTAAAATAAAAAAATCTGACATCCTGACGGTTTATGCTACCTCTCTACGCTGCTTAATTGCCAATAAGAAACTTGTCTTGTATCTTCAATAGTTACACAGACGATCGGGTACAAAGTATGTACTTCGAACGTCTCGCTTGTTTTTCATGGCAGAGAATATAATATTTTCCTCGGATACTTTTCTTTCTATCGTCAAAAACGAGCGAGGTATCCAAGATGTTGGAATTTACAGTTGCACCAGGCACGCTGCGCACAAGTAAACGTATGCAGTGGCTCCAGAAAGTCTTCGTACGCGAAATCTCAGATTTCCGCAAATTGTCGATACGCCAACCGTTGTAACGTTCGTTTAATCGTTAATTCTCATTGTTGTACGACTCGTTCTCACGAGATCAGTAGCGGTTTAAGCATTCGACAGTTCGTCGAAAATCGGAGATTTCACGCGTGAACATTTTCTGGCGCCGCCGTATGTACATGAAACACGTTAGTCCTTTTTTTGTCCCGAGATTTTACGAACGTACGCCGAGTGTTCCTCATTATTGTCGTAACTAGAAGTATGTCAGACTTCTCGTTGAAAAACGAAAGGGCATCGGTTTATCGAGAGGGCGAACTAATCACGCGAGAGGAGGCTTGCGTTCACGAAAGAAAGGCGAAGAGAAGGATAAAGAAGGAAATAAAGAAACCAAGAGAGAAAGTAAGAAAGTAAGAAAAGAATTCGCTAAGGCTGATCCCTGTGCTTCGGCTACTCGAGAAGAGAATCGGAGAAGCGCGCTGAACCGAACGAGACCGTGCCGAAAAGGGATCGTTCGAGAGCGTTATCAGCCCCGAAAAGCGATCGATCGGCTATCGACCTCTCCGAGTTTCTGTGCTCGATCGTTTCCGCTTCGATCGGCTACACGCTTGTCATCGCGTCAACTAAGGTGCATGGTCTAAACAAGTTCTCGCCCGCTGTTGCCTCACCGACAAATTAGGGGGTTAAACGGTGGTGACATTAGTGGGGGTTTGTCGGGGAAAAATACGGGTTACGTCGGCTCGTTCGGCGACGAGGGTTGCCGGCGTCGAACAGGTATTTTTGTACTCGCGCACAACCATTTGCGAAAAAATTGTCCGATTCGGCGATGTGGAGAGGGAGAGAGAGAGAGAGAGGGACGTTCTCTCTCTCTCTCACCCCCTCTCTCTCTCTCCCTCTCTCTCTCTCTCCTAACTCCTAACCGTTCGAGGATTCTGCCCGATCGAGGATGGAATCACGCGTGCGTAGCTCTCGCAACGTTCCCGCTCGGCGAGGGCTACTCCTCGGCCTCCATCATCTTCAGCATTCTGACGACCTGAGCGTGCTCCTCGAGCAACCTCGCGAACTCTCCTCTCCTGGTCTCCGCCTCGACCTGCATCTGCTTGATCCTCTCCCTGGGCCCTCCAGGACTGTCCATCGGGGTCTGGGTCGACGAGTTCTTCGCGCTGCTGTCGTTCGACAAACCGTCCATGTCCGAGTTCTCGCTCGATATCGAGTGGGAGTCCACGTCGTCCACGATCAGGCTGCAAACAATTCGAATCTTCGATCATTCGCGAAGCTCTTGTTCTCGTTCGAGGCGTTTCGAATTCTCGGGGAGGAACTACCGGAATTTCTTGTCGAAGTTACATCATCGTTTCTCACGCGCGAACGATTTTATAGACTGTTCCGAATGATGTTATACGCGCGCGTCGAACAATGCGTCGAAGTCGCCGCGAAAATATACACGCCGCTTCGAAAACGGCAAAAGGAACGACACGTTCGAGATCGAAGCTGCAGCGTTTCCCCGACCCAAGTTGAAAGCGAGCGGATTTCCCGGTAGGGAGGACGTGATTTTCGTAGCTGGTCCGAACTATCGACGTTCCGCCCTGCAGCATTGTAGTCGTAACAATTGTCGCTTGCGTCAATGTTACGTCATTGGTACTGAAGCACGTAGCCCAGACAATGGATAACGGATCGAGAGAGTACGTACGATTTTTCGCGGTCGTTCCGGTCAAGATACACGCGGCTGCCCTTTAGCTTGTCGCGAAGATAGAGAGAAACAGGGCACTCGAAAATTCGGAAGTCTCTTGCGTCACCGTCCACGACCATAATCGTTCGTGCTGCTGTAACTGCACGGTGTTCCGACGGATAGCAACATTTTTATTCCGAGAATATAATTTGTTTTTACAATATTATTACATTATAATTATATTATAATATTACAATATTATTACATTATAATTATATTATAATATTACAATATTATTACATTATAATTATATTATAATATTACAATATTATTACATTATAATTATATTATAATATTACAATATTATTACATTATAATTATATTATAATATTACAATATTATTACATTATAATTATATTATAATATTACAATATTATTACATTATAATTATATTATAATATTACAATATTATTACATTATAATTATATTATAATATTACAATATTATTACATTATAATTATATTATAATATTACAATATTATTACATTATAATTATATTATAATATTACAATATTATTACATTATAATTATATTATAATATTACAATATTATTACATTATAATTATATTATAATATTACAATATTATTACATTATAATTATATTATAATATTACAATATTATTACATTATAATTATATTATAATATTACAATATTATTACATTATAATTATATTATAATATTANGTTCTCGTTCGAGGCGTTTCGAATTCTCGGGGAGGAACTACCGGAATTTCTTGTCGAAGTTACATCATCGTTTCTCACGCGCGAACGATTTTATAGACTGTTCCGAATGATGTTATACGCGCGCGTCGAACAATGCGTCGAAGTCGCCGCGAAAATATACACGCCGCTTCGAAAACGGCAAAAGGAACGACACGTTCGAGATCGAAGCTGCAGCGTTTCCCCGACCCAAGTTGAAAGCGAGCGGATTTCCCGGTAGGGAGGACGTGATTTTCGTAGCTGGTCCGAACTATCGACGTTCCGCCCTGCAGCATTGTAGTCGTAACAATTGTCGCTTGCGTCAATGTTACGTCATTGGTACTGAAGCACGTAGCCCAGACAATGGATAACGGATCGAGAGAGTACGTACGATTTTTCGCGGTCGTTCCGGTCAAGATACACGCGGCTGCCCTTTAGCTTGTCGCGAAGATAGAGAGAAACAGGGCACTCGAAAATTCGGAAGTCTCTTGCGTCACCGTCCACGACCATAATCGTTCGTGCTGCTGTAACTGCACGGTGTTCCGACGGATAGCAACATTTTTATTCCGAGAATATAATTTGTTTTTACAATATTATTACATTATAATTATATTATAATATTACAATATTATTACATTATAATTATATTATAATATTATAATATTATTAATTTTATAATACTACAATTATTAATTTTATAATATTATTATAATATAATTTGTGTTTGAACTCGAAATCGAAGTATTACTCCGGAAGTTCGTTTCGGTGAAATCAGCTCCGAAACAAATTTGTTATCGTTTATACGCAAAGATTGGCCATTTCTCTTGCGGTCGAAATTTTGGGCTCGGTCCAGCTAGCATGCACCGTTCGAAACTTCTGATCCACGTGCAACCCGCAACTTATTACGAGACCTTCGAGTGCGTCCGTTATTTGTGTGTTAGACGGAATTGATAGCGGATCACGACGATCATATAATCTGAGAATATCGACTGGCGCCCACGCAAACTTTTCTGGGGAAGCAGATTACAGAAAGGTCGTATTGGAAATTTACTCCCACGAAAATTCTGGAAATAACGGAGTTTTGCGCGCGCGATTTGCAGCCGCGTTGCACGCGTCGCGACCGGTATTCGCAAAAGGAGACATTGCATCCGTCCTTCCTGCCGGGTCGATTTGCCGTCCCCGCTTCGTTTCGTCTCGTTTCTGTCTCGTTCGTCACGCATCTTTTTATCCGATCGCCGCCTTTCCACCGTGAATATCAATTCTGGCTCGAGTTCTCGAACGGCTCGAAACCGACGAAAATCGGGCGTGCTTCTTACCTAAATGCGCCGTAGATTTCCCTCCCCGACGTCATCTTGGAAGTGCAACGTCAGCTGACGAACCTGTAACAGAGAGTTCGTTTTAGTCGGACGAATCCTTCGAACGAATTTCGAGGATGCTGTTGCTACAAATCTGCGCCGCAGCTTTTTCCTCACGGTTTCCGAAGGAAGATCTGTTTTATCGCGCGGCGTAATTGGATTCCCCTCGGATCTCTAATTTCCAAGATGGAGCGAAGACGTCCGAGAAAATTGGAACGTTAACACTGCAAACTTTGCATACAGTTTTGTCCAGTCTCGTGGACTTCTTTCTCGACTTTAGCTTCTGGCATAAGATAGAAAGAGATGACAGTTAGCAAGATAGCAGATGCTATTTTGACGTTTGTTTCTTGTTATTTCGTTTTATTTCTGAAATAAAATAGGCTTAACTGAAATAAAACTCGATCAAAGTTACAAGATATTTCATCTATATAATACATATATATATTATTTTATAATGAAGTTTGTGTGAAACAATTTCTCTTAGAAACATTTATATAACATCAGTAACAGTGAAAAGAAGGCAGAGAGAGAGAGAGAGAGAGAGAGAGACATCTTCATTTCACTTTTCTTTCGTACAATGTATACCAAAAATGTTTATTTTACACAAAAATCTGCAATCTAGTTATTATGTCTAATTAGTATGTCAGTCACATTGAACAGTTGGTGCTTTCAGTGTTAACCCCATGCCGTACCATTTTTCCTTCACGGTTACGAAGATCCAAATTTGTTCATACCGTGATCATTTCTTCGAAGAGAAAGAAAAATCTATATTTATCGTGTGACTACATGTACTTGAAAGCTAAAGTATTCACGACCAGAAAACAATATTTTATTCCGGTTTAAAATAACGGAATAACATTCATATTTGACTGGTTATTCCCAGAAACCAGCACCGTCGCGTGTTAGTCCGGATAAAACGCGACAGGCGGTTGAAGGAGAAGAGAGAATTCGCTGGACTCTGGTTATTCGAGATCGAATTTGTCGGGGGTGAGTAAACAGTATGAATGACGATTTCATTGAATCGGAAGGCAAGCGAAGCACGTGTAACGCTTCGCTCGTCGTTGCCGAGGCAATATAAACATCACGTTCCGAGCGAGGCTGCGATATTAAGACCGCCAAGAATGATTTACGAGCATTTTGGCAATTGCTCTAAGACGATTACAGTGGCTCGATTGTCCAGGCATGCGTGATCGCGTTACACGCTTCTCTGGTTAAGACTTAAGACACCGCGTGCGTAAAAGACGCCTCGTTTATTTCGAGACAACGAGCCCGCACATGTATGTACAGCGTACAGCGCATATATCGAAGAGAGAGAGAGAGAGAGAGAGGAAAAGAGTATCGTGCACACGCTCGATATAATACGCGATAACGATTATTTTCTACTTCCTCGTGGCCGTGCTGTTTCCGTGTGCGCCTCGCCGTCAACCCGTTCACGTTCGATCTCTGATCGATTCGATCCGTCTCGTGCACACGACAATTCTCCGATCGAAAATCGATCGAACTTTTTCGTCGAACCTGAGACACGAGAGTCAACCATTTCTCTTCTGTTAATCCTTCGAAGATAATAATGATAATAATAATAATAATAATAATATTATTATTATTATTATTATTATAATATAATAATAATAATAATAATAATACACTGAATTCTCTTCAATTGTCGCTCAGCTTATAAGCAAAAATGGCCAATTTGGGAAGAGGAAATACGATTATTCGAGCCTCGCGGCTCGTTTTTACAGTTGTTGTTGACAATCGATAACTATAAAAACGAGCCGCGAGGCTTAAATAATCGTATCACCTCTTCCCAAATTGTTCATTTTTGTTTACAAGCTGTGGGACGATTGGAGAGAATTTACTGTACCTGTTTTATTAATGGACAGTGGTGTGAGTAATTATAGACTCTAAGTAACTCTTTTTTAGCGATATTTAAACAATACAAAAAGAAAAATAAGAAAGAGAGAAAAGTAGGTTATAGTGTAGCATATATAATAAACAAATAATAGATGTAATAAACGTATACACAGTATAGGAAATATAATAAATGAAAGATTATCGGACACGCAGGTAGTACCGTTGTTAAAATAATAGTACAAAAGGAAAATGAATAAAAACGATGGGAGAACGATTAGGTTGCAAGATGGACGTTCCTTGTTACCTCACCGTTCACGATGCTCGGCTTCGTTTAAGCCCTTGTTTATCAACCCCTTCTAAACGAATTTGTAACATTATCGTCACGGCTCGATAACTGAACGTCGATTTTAACGTTACTCCTACCAAAGAGGCTAGAACGCACCTTCGAACATTTTTATTTATTTTCGAAGTTCAATCACTTTCCCCTCGACTGTCTTATCAACTTTTCCTATAACGTTTATGAAAGTGATATTGATAAGACTAGGTGCGTACGAAAGATCGGTAAAAATATCGTTAAAACGCGGTGCACAGGGCTGAAAGTGGGAAAACGCGGCTGTCTAGATTCTTTGCGGAAGTTTAAACATTAATTTCTGTCGCGACACATGCTGCGAGGGGAAAGTTTCCCTTGCTCGATAACGCAATTAGGGGTCGCGTTCGTCGGGCCGTGGAAAAAACGCGGACTCTGTAACTTTTATTAAATTTGTTCTTTGAACGCGAAACGTTGTTCTCCAAGGTGCGCAAAGAAAATTCTTTGGTAGTTGTTTCTTGTTTCCGGAAGATTGAGGAAAATAATGGTCATTGTTACCAAACTGATTAATTTTAACAATCCGCGATCTTTTACGAGAACCCACCGAGCTACTGCGACGTCCGCGGATTTTTGTGCAAAATAAAAATTGTCTATGTTAATTGCAAGGAATAGAAATAACCGTAGCAACTTTGTTTTTCCTTGAATCATTTTAGTGGATTAAAAATGATACATTGACATTGTTTTAAAATGCTAATGTAATTTTTACACTATTTGAAATTGTAGCCATTCAATTTTGTCAGAAATGCATCAAATCTGCACTTTACTCTTTTCAATATTTCTCCCGGTTTCTCTATATGTACTGATCCTTTGAATAGGATTCTCAATTTGACTAACACTTATGCTAACGACATCGACTTTTTCATTGATGATTTTAATAAATTTAAAGATCAAGTATATATATATATATAACGCGTTATCAGAAGCTAGGATATTTAGTTCGTGTTTGTTTTGTATATCGTCCTCATTTATTATTTTCATTTTCATTTGTATTATTATCCTACTATTATCATCATTACTATTATTATTATTGTTACTATAATTATCATTATTCTATTATCATTATTATTATTATTACGTTGAATTTTTGTACAAAAAATTAAAGGAGACTCTGGCCCGCTTATGCTAAATAAATTAAATTAAATTAAATTGATCAAGCAGTGGTCTCCCGTCGACGAGGAGATCGAGAGTCGATTCCGGTAGAATCGAGAGCGAGAGAGCTTGGGGAAAACGACTGTTCGCGGACGACACGTGCGAGTTTACGCGATGAAACTGATAGAAGGACACGGTTAGGAGCATTTACACGTGCACACGGTCTCCCGCGTCACATCCTCCTACGTCACACGGTCGGCACGAATAATATTTCTCCCGGTAAAAGTTGCACAAGATTGTAACACTCGTGGCCGGTCCGATAGATCACAATCCCCACGATGCGATCGTCTCGAGAGGATCTATATGTCGACAGAACGATGATCGGCAGCGCGTAGGCAGAGCGGTTGTTCTTTCTAAAATAGGATCGCGAACGCAAATCCGTCTCGGACGGAGCCTTGGCCCCATACAGCGATGCTTGTGCCTGTTTCGTTAATAAAATGGTTAATTAAAAGCCCACGCGCGTGGACCGATAACCGGCGGATTCTTAACAAGCCATCGGCTTCGGGACAAATTTCACCAGAAGAAACGACCAGCACGGTTTCCCGTAGATTTTTCGGTAATTAGATCAATCCGATTAGTGTGTCCGTTCCTGGAGAAACTAATGGTCAGACCTTCGTCGAATATAGAAAATTCACCGATATCATTGACCCTACGAAGGCGAGATCCGGGTCTATTTTTGACCCGGAGGTGTTTAAATCAATGCTCAGTTATACATTTTCTGTAATCAAATCAAATAAATTGCTGATACAATCTTCAAAAATATGTTTTTTGAAATTGTCTGCATTGACTGCAAGATACAGGAGCTTAACTGACATTTATTTGGTTTCTTAGCGATTTCAATGAGTTTTCAATACGTTATGAAAATGGTCCGTCTTACAAGGGTTGATCACAGGAGTAGTTCGAAAAGAATTGTCGTTTTCAATTGTCCTCCTCGCGCAGATTTTTCGGTTATTAGAATAATCCGAGTGATATCGTCCGTGAACGAACTTATGGTCGAATCTCCGTGGAATATAAAATTTACTGAAACGATTAGCAGATTGAGTGCCGCGTCGGTCATACATGAATGACACTAATTATCGACTAGTTCTCAAAATTCCTTTTCATTCTAAAATATTCGATCAAACGGAACGTAACTAGGACGTTTAGAATGCGAAAGAATTAATGCATCGTTCGCTTAAAACATCATGATCAAACTTTCTAGTTTCAGTTGGATTTTCTGTGATTTTTGGGGGTTGATTTTCGGCCACTTTACGCGTTAATCAAGCATGCTCCGTGCAGGATCGTCGCGGTTATAACACCTCAACGATTGTGAACCGTGTCTCAGAGAGGCTCGATAATTTTCTTTTAAACGATAATTTCCAAAGAACCTATTACGTTGTTATTAAATTCGCAACTCTTGATCTTCGATTATGTACACGTTATGTACCGGTAGTTTTCAGCAGTCGAGAATTTCTTAAAAAATTGCTCGAAAGCGATGACAATTTCAACAAATATTCAACAAATTATTTGACCGGGTAATATGCAATAGCTAGACTGCGGAACTTCATGCAAACTAGAAACATTCTTCGTAAGTTACAACAAACGGGAACAAGAGAGAAATTTCGTTCTTCGTCCAATACTTTCAGTGAGTTTTTAATAATATATAGGTAACCCTAAATTCTCTTAATCTCTATACCGACTTAAATTTCATCAACCTATTTATATCATAACTGCATCAAATCCGTTTCATAACGTAATAGCAATAACTTCTAAAAGTAACCAGCGAAAAGCTAACTATTTAGTCGAACTAACTAACTCCATTTACATGCAGCTATTAATAGGCTTCCGGTAAATAAAGTGCTAAAGTAACTATTAGAGAACCGTCGATGGAATGCAGTGTTAATTACCATCTTGGGAATACGTTTCACCGAGGATGTCTGCCATGGATTTATCGGATCAAAGCCTCCCTCCGCGATCGAAAGCACCACGGTAGATCTTTGTCGAATTCGACGAAATTGATCGCGACGGATCGATGAAACGCGGTCCGAGAAGAATCGTCGGGATCTTAATGAGCTGCCGACTCGGGAGTACAATTTGACCGAGGATGACGACGCGCGGAGCTCGCGCCACGTTAATTACGATAATAAAAACATCGCGGGAGAGGAAGAAAGAGATAGAAAGACGATCGCGGCTATTGTCTCGCGAAACGCGTCTCGGCGGCGCGAGGAGGCCGCGGGAAAATGTACGAAACGCAACGAATAGCAACAATGCAACGCGGAATTTTCTTTATTCGGTAAAAAGAAAAAACCGGGAATCGACCTTCGCGAGATGGAGTCGGCGAGGATCGGACTCGAACGGGAGAAGACGACGAGTGGTTCGCGACCTTAGACAATGCGCTCGGCGCACACGAGACAAACCGCGCGAGCCGTGACCACTTCTGTGTCTCTGGAGGGACAAAGAGGGCAAGAAAGCCGGAGCCGTAAAAGACGGAGAGGAAAGTAGCCTCTCGTATTATTACACCGGATAAACGTCAGAGCCGTTTAGAACCAGTTGCAACGTCTCCACTCGAGATTCCTGCGTCGATTTCCAGTCGAACATTTTCGCGACGGCGCGACGGGAGAGCACTTCGCTCTAATTGCATACCAGATCGCCTCGTCCCGCCTCGTTTCGCCTCGCCTCGTCTCGCGTCGCGTCGCGTCGCCTCGCCTCGCCTCGTCCCGCCTCGCCTAGCCTCTGGATCAATTGGAATCCGAACCGATTTCGAGCGGTTCCGGCGCACAGTGGATACGACCGGACTTTGGTCAGACCGAGCAGCCCCACCGGCGGAAGGATCGAGCCGCCGATCATCGATTTTCGAGCGATCGTGGCGGGAAATATTTCGCGAACGACAGCTTCGAGACTATTCTCTAACGCGCGTGTCCCGTATTATCTGGCAACGCGGATACATACGAAGCTGTCCGAGAGCCGCGAGACGCTTCGATCGCGAACGGGTCGTTGATTTTCTCGCGGCGGGAGATTTCACAGAGGACGTTGATAGAGCTGTTTACCCACCTTCGACTATCTAGGCACGGTTCAGTTTCGTCCCTGTTGGCTTCAGCTTGGCCGCCGCTCCGGCACCGATAATTCTCTTCCTGTTCACGACCGGAACACCGGGCCTCGAGGATACCAGCTACCTCGGCGAGGAGAGACGCTTGGGGACGCGGCGAGCCGAACGAACAGAAACTGGCTGAGCCGAGTGGAAAACTAGATCCTCGGAGGTGACGAGACGCTCACCGCTCGACGGACTCGCGCAGACTGATCAGCTCGGTCCCTCTATTGCCGCGCGCTACAACCTCGACCACAGGTTACCGCTCCACCGGAGAAGGGGATGCAACCGACAAACGTTTTATTTCGTGGCAACCCTCTCCTCCCCGCCCCGGCGCTCTCGTCACCGGTCTACGGCTGTTTTCATGCACCCGGGGAGACGTGTCCCCCGTATCGATCCCGATCCCAGAGACAAGCGTTATCGATCGACCTTGCCGATCGCTTCGAAATCGGTGATCTCGAGATCGGATCGCGGACGTTTTCACAGATTTTTCTTCTTTTTTGCTCGCCATCGAATCGATTCGAAAGAGAAACAACAGATCTTCGTCGATCACGTCGCGACGATTTCTGATCGTTCGTCACTCGGCCGCGGATTTTTCTGCGAAATTAATATTGTCTCCATCAGTTGCGAGATATTCGGACTTAAATAGTACGTTCGTTCTTTCTTTAATTGAGCCGTTTATTTTGAAAGTGGCATAAGTCGCTTTACCGTGATGAAAAGTGGTGATTTGTTTAATGTTTATACGAAATTATTTGTACCGAGAAAAACATCAGTATCCTGAGATAACAAATACAAGTAAATCTTCTCGAAAGTTTAGCATTCATAGTTTTAAACGTGTTAAAACGCAAACCCTTAAATATATCGACTTAAAAACAAAGTGACTTATGCCAAAAAGAAAGATAATTTACATCCTTACTTCAATGTTTAAATATTGATAGTGCAAGGGTAGAACTTTATTCCGAGTTGAAAGACGAGTATAACGTCCATATTTACTAGACCATGTTGCAAGTATTTATAATAATAATAATAGTCCAAGTATTATAATAGCAGTAGTACATATAATAATCCAAGTATTTATAGCAATAATAATAATAATAATAATGTTTTTTCTTTTAGCAGAATGAACCCTTTGTTATACAATAAAAAATACAGTAACAATCGGACAAAGTACCAACGAAAAAGGAGAAAAAGAGAAGCGTCATAACAAATAACATGTCCAACGCGATATTATTAGGTTTAGTTGATTTTCGTTGTGAAATTGATCAGAAATTAATTTTAATGAAAATAATTCGATGCTAGGTCGAACGTTCGAAAATTTTGTACACGTGTTTGGCTATATTTCAAGACAACACGCCGTATTTTCATACAATTATCTATCTGTCTTATCATTAACATTATTCTCTCGTAAGCTATATATTTTCCATGTTCCTCCGCGCACTTGGTTTTCCCGAGTTATTCTATCGGAGATCAAAGAACTTGGGAATGTGGGCGTTGAGTTATGGTCGTCAGTGTCGTAGATGCGTCCGTAACAATTTCTTGAAAGACATTGTCATCTTGCGAGTGTCCAAGACGGACGCGCAGAACCATTTGTTTTGGCAAACGTTCATCTCGGTCTCTTGGCATTCAGTAGTCGCGGACTAACATGATCAGCCGAGGAAATGAATTTTTGTTTCGTTCTCCTGTAATCTCTTCAGACGTCAAAGACACGAGATTCTATAACGGTGCACGTCAATGAGATCTTCGATAACTTGTTTATTAATGGACTTTATCGATCTCCTCACGGATTACAAGTGACTCGATTGTCACGCTCACGATTTCAAGACAATCTCAAACGAATCGAAGACCGTGCAGGTAAACCGACCTCCGGGCACACTTTTATTTCGCTCGCTTTTGATTGAAAATAAATACTTAATATGTCTCAATCGACAAATATAAAGTTATGCGGGATATATATTCTTAAACGTTTCGAGATACATGTCGTCGTGTTGTCGACATTCACTGAAATAATAAAAATCTCCTGATTCAGATTTTGGGACGAAAAATAAAAAACAGTTTTTCTCATGATAAGAAAATTAATTATTAAAGGGAATTGCAATTAAAGAGAAATGCAAAAAGAACGATAACACGCGGCTCCGAAATCATAATTAAAATAAAAATTCTACGCGAAAAGCCGCACCTTTGTTTTTCATACGCCGCGTAATTCTATTACGAAAAAAGAATCTACGTTTTATAGTCTGTCCTAGATCGAAGGAAAAACGTGCTAGACTGCACGCCGTCGACCGGGAGGTTCATGGGGATGAAGAAGATTTACTATTTCAGTAAACGTCGATAAAATGTAACGGAGGAAAAATGGACGTGCCTTGAAATGTTTCACTTTATAAAGAGATTGCCGAAAATCATGGTTATTTGAACGGTATACTCGAGGCTCATTCGCACTCGAAGTTATTTTAACTTCTTCTTCTGCTTCTATTTGTATTATTTTCGTATCGCATGCATGCGAAGTTGAACTTGTCCGCACGTGCAATACATTTTCAACAACTCTTCGAATATAAGTCAATTTAATGACGAAAGAATTGCTTTTAAAAATGATATAGCAATTTTTCAGAGTCGTCGTCCGAGCGCGACGGAGACGTGTCCGCGTTTCCGAAAGCAGATTTTGTAAAGGTCGTCGGCTTCGAATGGCAGTAGATTTTATCCGGAGCGTTATCGCGACGTTATCCAGACCCGACGGATAAAAATATGCCGAGAAGCGGAGACCGGAGACAGCCGGTGGAAAGAGTGGTTCCCCATAGAAAGGGCCGGCTTTTTCACGGTTGGATTGCGGCTGGCCGACACACCGCGCCTTGTTGGCGAGCTTTTCTCAGCCTCGAGGGAGGTGTTGACCCTGGCTGGGTCGGCGTGTGCATTGAACATTGACTTTAACGAGCGAAAATAGGGAGCCAATCGACGAGCAAATGCCCCCGAAAGCGTCGGACAAAGAGTCAGAGAAGGAGGCTGCCAGAACAGAAAGAACAGAGCGGAAAGAAAGGAACGGGAGGAGCCGAGATAAGCGTGGAAGGACGCACACATCGGAGAGGAGACGCGACGGCTCGTTGTATGCTCGACGGTGGTTAACCACCGCGCAGCTTATTCTCTCTCTCTCTCTCTCTCTCTCTCTCTCTCTCGCTCTCTCGTTCTGTGCGGCACAGCATACCACGACAAAATTAGCGTTCAACCGAAATAATTTACCACCGGATTCTCGCAGGAGTTGTATGGTTTTCGTCTGGTCCGTTTAGTGTTTCGCGACGACCCTGAAATCCGCCGCCACGCTTCAAGCTCGTGATCCATGGATCACTTATAGCCGACCGTCGATTCGACGATCCCGCCGATTCGAAGACCGAACGGAAACGTATCGAGAACGGAGACGTCGAGTCTCGTAACGCGGCGGGTCGACGGTGTTATCGCGCGAAGCTTGCCATTGAAAAATTCATTAACTCGGGCTCCGTCAAAACACGATAAAGTCAACTGATCGACCACTAAACCGATCGACATTGTCCTGCTTCGATACATCGTGCTCGACGTTCGGTATTTTACTGCCGGATTTTAATATAGTCGGCGAACTGGATCACGGATCTTTGTGCGAAATGAAAATTGTTTCAGCGAACTGTGGGAAATATGGATAAAATGAAGCTCAATATTTTTCTTTTAATCATTTCAATCAGTCGACAACGATGCAACGGTGTTCTTAGAGAACTCCGGTGTCTTCGTTATTTTTTATTCCACCTGTTCACATTCGGAAATACATCAAATCCGCGGTAGAGTAATAACAGATTTCAGACATTTTTTCGCTGAATGCATATTAAACTTACTTCGACGTTCGCGTATGTTCCGCGGATAGTTGATTCGACGGCAAACGCGTTAATAGGTTCGGCTAGAGATACGCTAAACGAGAATATGATGTTCGAATCGCGAGAGCTATCGGCAGGGACGAAAACAATCGATATAGAGAGCAGTTCGAGATAATGTTACATTTCTTCGGCGAGTAGGTACCATTTGCTGAATCTATTGGCGCTAGGATTTCGATGAACTAAATTAATGAAATTTCTACTCGAGTTAAGCTTTCAGCCACATCTACATGTAGATGTGCTCTTAATTTGATCTGCGTGGAAAATAAGAATTACCTGCATCGTTTGCAAGGTATTGGAACCAAATAGAAACTTAGTTCGTACTTTAATCGCTTTAATATCCTGATGACATAAAAATGTTCTGTTATTATTTTGTGTTTCAGTTACTCGTTTCTTTTCTCCTGTATCTGTAATTTTGTGCTCGCAAGAAACGGTTTGAGGAACGTAATTAATTAGTTAGATTTTCAACCACCTCTGAACGCAGACATGTTCTGAATTAGATTTTTATTGGGAATACAGATTTTCTGCGCTCATTGCAATGCATTAGAACCAATTATTTGAAAGAACCAAAATAATCGTGTTTCGTACTTTAATCGTTTTAATACTAAACCTACCGACCACAAACAGTGATCGACGTTTGCTGCTTTACAAGAATCACAAGACACAATTTATTTCCACTTCTTCAAATTTTTATTGTAACGTATGCTTTAATCGAGGAACGTATTCCATTAAAATGACTGGCACTGGTAGGCTTAATGTTAATAAGCTGACAAATAAATATAACTAACATATACTCTTCTGTCATTCTACTATTTCATGTTTTCACTATGTACTTGCTTTTTCTGTTGTATTTGCAATATAATGCTTAATAAAATTGTTTTCAATTTTCAACAGAATACTTCTGAATTTTCAACTAAACTGTCTTCAATTTTCAAACTAAATTCTTCTGAATTTTCAACTAAATTGTTTTCAATTTTCAACTAAAGTGTTTTCAATTTTCAACTAAATTGTTCTCAATTGTAAATCAAATTGTTCCGAATTTTAATCTAAACTGTTTTCAATTGTAAATCAAATTGTTCTGAATTTTAAACCACATTGTTCCCAGTCTCCAACTAAACAGTTTTCAGTTTCCAACTAAATTGTTTTCAACGGATTGTTCCGGACAAACTACATACATATTAGGTTGTCCGGAAAGTTTGTTTCACATTTCATAGACTTTGCTTGATTTGAGAATGATTCGGAACGAAGTTTCCGAACAACCTAATAAAACTAGCATAACGAGCGATGCGGATTTTCCACGTTTGTCCGAGTTCCGTGGAACGGCGGGCAGGTTCGTTGCGCGCAAGATCCGCGC